TTTGTCTTGATCATCTCTTGTCTTTCTCTATACTTTAACCCTCAATATATCTATTCCTGTCTAAGCAACATATTGTTTAGTTACGAAACATGGAGTAGCAAACTCCAGCCTGTGTGAGGAAAGGGCAGTTTGCACTATTGGGTGAAATCTCTGAGGACAGGAGAAGCTGAACAGTCTGCCTTCAGCCTCACTGAGAGTTTCTGAGCGACTCTTTGGAGAAGTCATTGGGTGAGGTCATGACTGACCCCTGGAAACTCAGGGCCACCACAGATGGGGGATTTGGCTGGCCATTGTGTGGCCCAGGGCAGATTTCCAGCAGAGGCATGGAAAGAGGATGGCTGTTCACTGTGGCCCACCTCCTGCTCTCGTGAGCAGGTCAGAGCAGAACACGTGGGTGAAACGAGGGTCCTTGGCTGAACCTCTGTCCTGGAGGGGAGAACAGGAATTTCATCAGCATGCAGTTGTGACCAACCAAGTCCAGACAAGCAGCTGAGCCTGGGCCAGACTCTCTGGGCATCATTCTGTCATCAGATTAACCAGAAAATGTACAATACTATATGATTGTGTGTATGTATAGTTGATTCTTGTTACCTCTGGTAGTTCTGTTCTGCAAAGTTTCCATGAACAATGACCTAGCAAATGCTGAATAATTGCTCCTAGGGGAAATTCAGGGTTAGGTTCCTGTAAGCCTTTGGTCACATTTTCATCAGTTGATCAGTCTTGTTTTTTAGAAGTGATTCTGTTGAAAGACAGTTTATTTAATATGTATTGTTCATTTATGATCCTAGAACTCACAGCCAACAGCAACATAACTCATGCCTGAACAAAGCTTATCTAATGGGGTGCCTGGGTGGCTCAGTTGGTTAAGCGACTGCCTTCGGCTCAGGTCATGATCCTGGAGTCCCGGGACTGAGTCCCGCATCGGGCTCCCTGGTCGGCAGGGAGTCTGCTTTGCCCTCTGACCCTCCCCCCTCTCATGTGCTCTCTCTCTCTCATTCTCTCTCTCAAATAAATAAATAAAATCTTTAAAAAAAAAAAAAAGCTTATCTAATGTATATTTTCTCTGTAAGACACGTCATAGCCTTACGGTGTGTAGGAGCACTGGGCAGCACTGCCACCGTACCCTCAGGGGCCGTTTGAAACAGTGAAACCCCCTATAAACAGTCCCAGAAAGGTGAAAAACATGGCACTAAATAGATCATGAAAGACACTTGTTTACGCTGTGAGGGCAGAAACAAGAAGGGAGAGAGTTGACTTTTTTTACCCTCAGCTGGTAATGTGCACGAATGACTTAGAGCACTACAAGTATTAATACGAATGTACGTGTATTTATACATATTTGTCAACAAAACGGAAAATAAGCCTAGAATGTTAGAAGTCAAGGTAGTAACTTGAATGGTTACTAGAAGGGGCATGAGGGAGACTTTTGGGGTTCTTGATCTCGGTGTTACACAGGATGTGTTCACTTTGTGAAAACTGAGCTGTGTGTTTATGATTTGTGTACTTGTCTGAATGGTGTTAAGCTTAAGGAAACAGTGAAAAACACACACTACTGTGGCCTCAGGATCTGGATGATGACCACTCAGGATACGTGGCTTTGAGTGTCACTACTCTGGTGGGGACTAGTGATTCTGGGGATTCCCACTTCACCGTCTAGCTCCCTGGTGATTTTTGTTGCTTCTTTGTATTGGGTCTTCTGATTCAGTCTTCTGATTCCTAGATTCCATCTGCCCATTGTTTTCCTCTCTCACTCTTTTGGTAACCTATACTTTCATAGTTTCAGGAGAAAGGATGCATGGGAAGTAATTTTTTTAAGGACTTAATGCACCTTAAAATGTTGTTATACTACCCTCATCCTTGAGTGATAACTTTCCTAGGTGTGGAACTTTAATTTGGATAGTCTTGCCTTTAGAACTTTGGTGACAGTAATGCATCACCTTTCAGTGTCCAGTGTTCCTCTTGCAAACACCAGATCTTTGATCTTTGTGTGACCTCTACTCCCCTCTTCCCCCAGTCCCTCTTCCCCCAGTCCCTCTTCTGGAAGCTAGCAGAATTAGAGTCTCCTTTTTATGTCTGCTCTTCTGAAATGTGATGGGTAGGTCTCCTTTTATCCACTGTGTTGGGTATTCTGTGGGCATTTTCAGTCTGGCAACTCATAACCTCTTTTCTGAGAAGTTTTCTTCAGTTATTCTGTTGGTTATTTCCTCCCCTCCATTTTCTCACTTTTAGAATATTGAAACTTCTAGACAAGTATTCCAATTTTCTTCTCTTTAATACTGTCCTCCTCCCCTCCGCCCCCCCACCCCGCTTCTCCTGGAAATAATTCAGTTACTTAACTCCAACTCAGCATATACAGCTTTTCAGTTTTCAGTACAGAATGCACTTTACTCTGCTGTCAACAATGCCATGAGTTCCCTAGGTTCGAGACCCCCTGTTTTACCCGCTTTAACAAATAAACTGTTACTTTCCACTTGGAGTATACTGTTGGAGAGGCAACTTAGAAATTTAACTGCCTCTCGGGGCATCTGGGTGGCTCAGTTGGTTAAGTGTCTGACTCTTGATTTTAGTTCAGGTCATGATCCTCAGGGATGTGGGATCAAGCCCTGTGTCAGGCTCTGTGCTCAGTGAGGAGTCTGCTTGGGATTCTCTCCCTCTGCCCCCCGACCCCCCCGCTTGTGCTCTCTCTCGCAAATAAATAATAAATAAAACTTTTTTTAAAAAAGAAATTTAACTGCTTCTCAACCCTTAACTATAGAGAGAGAACTCATGGTTACCAAAATGGAGGTGGGTAGGGGCATGGGTGAAATAGGTGATGGGGATTAAGGAGTGCACTTGTGATGAGCATCGAGTGATATATGGAAGTGTTGAATCACTATATTGCACATCTGAAATTAATATTACACTGTATGTTAACTAACTGGAATTTATTTATTTATTTTTAAAGATTTTATTTGTTCATTTGACAGAGCGAGAGAGCACAAGCAGGGGGAGCAGGAGAAGGAAAGGGAGAAGCAGGCTCCCCGCCGAGCAGGGAGCCCGATGGGGGCTCGATCCCGGGACTCCGGGATCATGACCCGAGGCAAAGGCAGATGCTTAACCATCTGAGCCACCCAGGCGCCCCTATTTATTTATTTTTAAAGATTTTATTTATTTTTCAGAGAGAGAGCACAAGCAGGGGGAGCGGCAGGCAGAGGGAGAGGGAGAAGCCGGCTACCCCCTGAGCAGGGAGCCCGACATGGGGCTCAATCCCAGGACCCCAGGATCATGACGCGAGCCGAAGGCAGGCACTTAAACCGACGGAGCCACCCAGGTGCCCCAACTAACTGGAATTTAAATAAAAACTTAAAAGAAATGTAACTGCTTCTAAAGAGCTTTTACATCTTCCATCTTTCTACAGTTCTTCATCCTTTCATTCTGGAGGTACCTGGTGCTGCCAGTCCTGGACATACTGTTGCATCTGTGCTGTAAATTGGGTTGTTTCTTAGCTTTCTCCTATCCCCGGATTAGGATTCAGCTGTCTTCAGTTTCCTAACTCTGTAACCACTCATCCATCTGCTTTCCAGCCTCCAAATTTTGTTGCTGTTGTTTACTCTTTATCATTATGAAATTGTCAGTTTTTAAATTCCAGTGCTAAATTTTCAGAAAAGAACAGAATTAGATCTTACCATGTTATCTGTTCTAGACTTTATTTTTACAAAATTATGGCTCAGTCTCAAATGCCATTGTCCAGTACCGTGTGCAGTACTGTAGCCACTAGCCATGTGAGCACTTGAAATGTGGCTGGTGTGGAACTGAATTTTAAATTGTATTTAATCTAAAGTCACATTTAAAAAATGACATGTGGCTAGTGGCTGCCAGACTGAACAGCACAGGTCCAGTGCTCGTAAAGTGGGAATTGGGAGTAACTGATGTCTATATCTAATCTATATATCTGCCGTAAGGAGAAGGGCTTTTTTTTTCCTATTTCCTTCACCGTAAGGAATTTTTCCCCCCTATTTCCTTCTTTTTGACTTTCTTATTTGTATCAGTATGGACACATGGATTCCTATGTTCAGTGGGTTATAATCTAGTACTTTTATTATTTATTTTGATGCTCAGATCATCCCAGATTTGGCCAGTGGAAACCCTTTCAAGGGATGCTTGGTGGCTCAGTCGGTTGAGGGTCTGCCGTCGGCTCAGGTCATGAGCCCACGGTCGTGGGATCAAGTCCCGCGTCTGGCTCCCTGCTCAGCGTGGAGCCTGCTTCTCCCTCTGCCTGCTGCTCCCCCTGCTTGTGTGCTCTCTCTCTCTCTCTCTGTCTCTGACAAGTAAATAAATAAAATCTTAAAAAAAAAAGAAACCCCTTCAAGGTTTCTTCTGTATCCTTTTGACATGTATCCATCATTATCTCTGCATCATTCATTGTAGCAGGTTCATGTACTTGCCCTCCCCCAAGCCCTGAAATCATCCATCTTCCTGGGGAGCTCTGGTTTTTCTTAGTGGAGGATGCTGTTTAGAAACCAAGATTGTGGTGCTGTGTGTGCTCATTGCTGCTGGAGCATCACTGCTTCTGGACTTTCTCAGCTGACAAAGTATTTTAATGGCTAGTAGCTGTTGCGTTGGAGAGTACAGTTATAGACATCTCCAATTTTACAAAAAGGAAAAGACGATGTTACTAGAGTTTTATGAGCAGAATGCAACTAGCTGGTGCTGAGAATGCTGGGGCCAGAGCCCCTCTTCTCCTGGAGGGATGCTTTCTCTCTCCCTCTAGGGCCTCCCATTGGCAGAATGTAACCAGAAGCCAACTGCCAAGGGAGTCTGAATAATCAAGTTTTCAGACCCTGGACATGGTTGCCTAATCTCAGTACCATTGACATTTTGGGCCACGTGGCTGTCCTTTGCATTTTGGGCCACGTGGCTGTCCTTTGCTTTGGAGGATGTTTAGTAACATACTTGGCCTCTACCCACTTGATAACCAGTATCTCCCTCCCTCCAACCCAAATGTTTCCATACATTGCCAGATATCCCCTGGGGGACAGAATGGCCCCTGATGAAGAACCACCTCCGAGACCCAGCATTGCAGAGCTGCATACAGAAGGGTAAGCTTGAAGCTGAGAAACAGTAGTAATAACCAGCACCCCACTTTATAATTCAGATGTCCTTGATATCCTTGAAGTGTAAGGAAGGGAAGAGAAATTTATGTTTATATATCTGTGACAGCCCTGCGATATAGAAAGATTATTATATGCTTTCTCCCCCCTTTAATTGATCAAGAAAGCAATCTCTTTTCAGTCAGGCAGGATTCACATCCTTGCCAATAAAGTTATTTGTTTACCTGCTCATAATGTTTGCTCTTGGAGTTACTGCCATTCCTTTTTTAAGTGGGTGAACTGCTCTTTTGAGTGTTGCATTTCAAAGTCATGGTTGATATATTGTCAGCCTGGATGCATATTCTGTATGGTGCCCTACTCAGGGTCATACTGCCCAGAATCATGGCTAGAAATGTTCATAAGTGGAGAGAAGAGGAAACATGAGTAATATTTATATTAAAGCCAATGTTTTTATTTTATTTTTAGCTTTGGATACTTAATATTTGAATACCAGTTGGTTTACTAGAGACTTATTTCAAACTCTGTAAGCACTGTTCATTTTCCTCATTTTGTCCTTTCCTTCTTTCTGTTCCATACTGTTGTATGTCACTCTCCCTGATACAGAGATGTATCCTCTCTTAAGGGAATCTCCCAAAGATCAGCCTAACTAACTTTTTACCCATTTATGCCTCTGCACAAAACCAGCCATCCTGTGTCCAAAAGTCCTCTTCCATGTTACTTCACAAGTTAAGAGGAGATGGGGAATTTGTCCATGTTGGTTGTTTTTTTTTTGTTTTGGTTTGTTTTTTTAAGAAAACATTTAAACATAGAATTAAGGCTTTGCAGATACAGGTGAATTCCACTTTATATCCTTTCTTTTTTTTTTTTTTTTAAAGATTTTATTTATTTATTTGAGAGAGAGAATGAGAGAGAGAGCACATGAGAGGGGGGAGGATCAGAGGGAGAAGCAGACCCCCTGCTGAGCAAGGAGCCCGATATGGGACTCGATCCCGGGACTCCAGGATCATGACCTGAGCCTAAGGCAGTCACTTAACCAACTGAGCCACCCAGGCGCCCTATATCCTTTCTTGATTCCATTCTATTTCCTTCCATCTCTCTACCTCCTAGAGGTAGCACTTCTTGCAATTGATGTGTATCCTTTCTGTCCACCTTTCAATATGCTTTCCACATACGTATGTGTCCATAGAATATTGTGTTGTGTATTTTTAAACTTATGGAAGTGGTTCCATATAGTATGTATCCTTTTACCACTTTTTTTTTTTTGTAGGGACTGACGCACGTTGATGCAGGGAAGTCTGGTAGTTCATTGGAGTGCACTGGTGTAGTATTGCAGGATGTGATTGTGTCATGTGTCATAGGTTGTCGATTCCCATGTCTGAAGATGCATGTGTACCGGATTTCCTGATATGCTTGAAAAGACCAAAAGTGAAAAATAAACTATGTATTTGAGAGTCATATTGATTGTTCTGCTGTGATTTGAAGGAGTGAGGCCAGACATGTTTCCAGCTTACTGAAATTTTATTTATCTCTACGCCGTAGCAAATAAAAACTGCTGAAGATATCCACTTCTGAAATAACAACAGACTTATTATTGTCAGAAGGCATGCCTCAGTAGATTACCCTGTGTAGCAGTCACTGGTTTGCCACTTGATAGCTGTGTGCTTTTGGAGCAAGGTGCTTGGTGCTTGTGTCCTCTGTTTACGTATCTGTAAAAGAACAACAGTTCAGTGACCAAGCCTTTCTGCAGGTGCCTGGGCATCAAGGTCAGTTAAACACTGATTGGTTATTGAAGGAACATTGCTGGGTAGAGGTGAGCTGAGGGAGAGTCTCCTGTGTTGTGTCATGCCTGTTTAAGTGTTTTAATTTTTTAGACTGGCACCTACAGGTTTGAAATTTAATGTTTTTTACTAGTACTCTCTTTTCCCAATCTCTGCAAAATATAAGCACTAGATATCTTCATTAAAATGATCGCCTTGTCTGAGGATACTTGTTTTGGGAGGGCTGGAGCACTCTGCCTTGCCCCATAGACCTGCTTGGGGAGGGTCTGCAAACAGAGTCATCTCTGTGCACTGTGTGTTGTTTAAAGCAACTACACCGAATTGCACATATATATGTGAATACTGGGTTTTTATTTTTTATTTTTACACATAAACCTGTGACTGGCAGTCAGTAACCTGTTTCCCAGCACCAGGGGCGTCATCTGTTAGAGCTGCCAGCCAGACTCTCCTGGGCTGATGTGGCTGGCTGGTGGCTGGTGCCCAGAAATACTGGGCGTGGCATTTTTGCCCCACTCATTTTCTTTCCTCCTATAGAAAACAAGTACCTGTTGTTCAGTCCCTTTCTCTTCCCCCTCAATTTTCATCATTCAGTCATCCTTACATCAAGAAGTCTATTATAGACTCACATTAATCCCTTTTCCCTTCTCTCTTTTTGAGCTCTTATCTAATTACCCTAGGAAAATGTCCTCTTCTCTTTTCATTCATTCGACAGATACTCATTGAAATCCTTATATACCTCCTCTTCCTTTGTTTTATGTGTGAGTCAGAAAACAGCTCTAATCATGGCTGAATATAATAGCTTGAGTAATATAGAAGCCTCTCTATTTCCAGATAAGAGTTTCTGAAAGGCTGTTCACCAGTTCATGAGTGAGCAAGTCCATTGTTACTAAGATAGGCTTCCTTTTGCAGGCGAGGGATGCGTTTCTGTGAAATAAGAGGGTAGACCAAGTTCTTTAAAACCAAGCAAATCAATCATTTATTCCAGAATGGACCAACTTCCTCTACATTGGGAACTTTTAGAGATGAATTTAACTTCCCTCCTTGACAAAATGCACAAGGAACTCTTTAATATAATGTCTAACCCCTGCCTCTCTGTCCACTTTTTGGGGCAGATTTGAACTGGCTTTGAATCATCCTTAGCCACAAAAGAAGTTTAATCACACGTCACAATTGCCTCATAACTTTGTTGTGAAGATTAAGAAAGCAATATATGTAAGCTTTCTGGCACACAGTAAGTAATGATAGAAGTTGCTACTCACACCACTGGAGTATTGGCTCTGTGTAGCAAACATTTGTGTTCACTGCTGTACCTGGCACATAGTAGATAGTAAATAATGAAAGGATAGACGGATGCTCCTTCTTATTACATATGATATAACTTGTAGAATTCTACCTAAAAACAATAAAAGTAAGAAAGCCGCGTCTCCATACAGAAAGGGTTGTTCTAAATTGCCAGGTAAATGTATCAGTTTCAAGCAGGTCTATTAAGTGTGAAAAGCACAAGTACTATCAACCTACTTACCAAACTTCTCCATGTTTTCCCTACTCCAGTGTTCCTCTTGGCCACCCAGTTCTGTTCTTTCTGAGTCTTGCCCTCCCCCAGCTGTATACCTCTTTCTTTTTTTTTTTCTTTAAAGATTTTATCTATCTATTTATTTATTTATTTATTTGACAGAGAGAGAGAGACACAGTGAGAGAGGGAACACAAGCGGCGGGAGTGGGAGAGGGAGAAGGAGGCTTCCCGCAGAGCGGGGAGCCCAATGTGGGGCTCGATCCCAGGACCCTGGGATCATGACCTGAGCTGAAGGCAGACGCTTAACGACTGAGCCACCCAGGTGCCCCTGTATACCTCTTTCTCATGTCTTCTTTCTCTGCCCCTGGACTCTCTTTAACTATAGGTTTTTATTCAGGGGCGCCTGGGTGGTTCAGTTGTTAAGCGTCTGCCTGCCGTTCAGGTCATGGTCCCAGGGTCCTGGGATCGAGCCCCGCATCGGGCTCCCTGCTCGGTGGGAAGCCTGTTTCTCCCTCTCTCACTCCCCCTGCTTGTGTTCCCTCTCTCGCTGTGTCTCCCTCTGTCAAATAAATAAAGTCTTTAGAAAAAAATAAAAAAGAGGGGCACCTGAGTGGGTGGGTGGCTCAGCCGTTGGGCGTCTGCCTTCAGCTCAGGTTATGGTCCCAGGATCCTGGGATCGAGCCCTGCATCGGGCTCCCTGCTTCTCCCTCTCCCACTCCCCCTGCTTGTGTTCCCTCTCTTGCTGTGTCTCTTTGTGTCAAATAAATAAATAAAATGTTAAAAAAAAAAGAAAAAACTATAGGTCTTTTTCTGAATGGTATCTTTATATGGGTCTCTCTACCCAATTTTCTGTCCTCTTGACTTTCTCCCATAACCATATGGCAGAGATTTTTAAAAATAAACATGTATAGAGTTACAGATATATTTAATTTTTTTGGTTTTGTTCATAATTCTAAAAATAATTAAGTAGGGCTTTTTTTTTTTTAACTCCTAGAGTTATTTTACCTTTGCAAGGCATGATTGTATTTCCTCTGTGATGCTTTAATAGAAAGGGGGAAAGCTTTTCACTCCTGTTCTAGGCTCCCAGCTTGTGAAGCATTTTAAAATATATCTTAAATTCCTTCCTCCAGCAGTTTTGCTGGAGATATTTCTCCAGATATTTTGAAATATCTTTCTGCCATCTTCTTTATTACTGGCTACTTCTGCTTTTCACTGAGTTACAATAGTTCATTTCTTTAATTGCTTCCATGTTCATCTGAGATCCTCTCAAAGAGTTGCATGATTTTTCAACCACCTAAATGCAAAGAGCCTCTTCTTGGGAATTGTCCTTATCATTGTAAAGTTGTTTTAATGGCATAGTTCTCTGTACCGTTCTCAGTATTAAAATTATTGTCTAGCATATATAATATAATATCCTCTTTTTTTAAGTCACACTTATTAGAAGTGCATGGGCTTATTAAAAATGCATGGTACTTAGATATTTTGTTAAAGTAAAAAGAGAGTCTACTCTCCAAATTGCGCGGCACTAGAAGTCAAAATAAATTGTCATTGACAGGGGCACCTGGGTGGCTCAGTTGGTGAAACATCTGCCTTTGGCTCAGGTCATGATCCCAGAGTCCTGGGATCGAGCCCTGCATCAGACTTCCTTTTCAGCGAGGAGCCTGCTTCTCTCTCCCTCTGCTGCTCCCCCTGCTTGT